CCAGCTCATCCACATTCCTGTGGTGCGATTCGGTTCTTTGGTCACAACAGCCCGCTTTTTGCCTTCCAGTTGCCGCCACTTTCTCGCTTAGCGAAAACTGATTCCGCTTCTTTGTCTCAAGAAGAGACGAACGAACATCGTAGTAGCATCACAGCGCGAGCGCCGACTAGCTTTGCGGACGCGATAAGTAGTCACCGAAAAGAGATGAACAAGACTGACAAACAAGGCCTCCTCGTCTTAGAGCACATGAAGAAGCGACAAAAAAAAGAGAGAGAGAGAGAGACAGAGAGAGAGAGATAAACCGAAAGCGTCGCGGCTGTCATCGCCTCTTCCGAAGAAAAAAAAAAGCGCTAAAAAATTCTTCGTGTTTCGTTTTCTGTTCTCTTGCTGTCTCGGGTTTTCCGCGCCTATGTCTCCTGCTCCGCGACTCCAACTCTGCCCTCTGCTACAGTGTACTCCTCTGCCTCGCTGACCTTGCCCCACGGAGGAAGGAAAGGATCTTTCCTTCCTCCGTGCCTTGCCCTATCGTGTTTTTCCAACACCACCTAGATTATTCACAAGGCCCGTTCATACCCCTCTCTCCAGACGGCATACGTCACGCTAGTTGTCCGATGTTATGACCGGCACAGCAAGGAGGTGGCTTGCAAGGGACGCTCATCGGCGTAACGGTCAAACGCTGTCCGCGTCCTGCAGGAACGCGGGAGGCGTCTGTGTGCGCCGCAGGAAATGCACATCAGCGTCGCTGGGACACACAGTCGGCGTGCACGAACGGCTATAAAAGGAGCGTGTCGGGAGTGCGCTGTGCTCTCTCTCTCTGGACTTCGCTGGCCCGCTCGTCTCGAGTTCGCTCTGGGCCCTTGTGATGGAAAGGTGCGTCTGTACGCTCTCGTTGCAATGTACTTCTTTTGCAAATATGTAAATTAAACGCATCTTCTACTTGTTCGTGAGACGCGTCGCAAGAGTCGTCCTTCGCCGGATCCTGGGTGGCAGCCTCAACCCCTCCCCGGGCATATCACCGACTGTCCAGTGGCCGAGGACGCGTCGCTCAGGTGGTGGTGTTGGTCACCCCGCGCACTTTTTAACCCCGAACGGCGGACAAGCCACGACAGGTTTGCCTTTCATCGCTGCCTGCTTCGCTGGTTAGACTGCGTTAGGCTTGGTGCTGCATCGCGCTGCTTTGAGTCTTCGTCCGTTCCCACGTGTCCTATTTTATAGGTGTTGTATTTGTGAGTATGTGATTACACATCGATTAGTGCGACATGGGACGTTGTTGTGTTCCCGGGTGCCGCGGCAATTTTGACAGTGGTCCCAAAGTGCGTGTTTTCGCATTCCCCAAGGATGAAGCTCGGAAGAAGTCTTGGATAAAAACCATTCCGCGAAAGGATTTCACACCAAGCATACACTCCAAGGTGAGAAACTGCTGAAGTTTGTTGTCTTACCGGCTCTATCGCATTACTGGCGTTCTGGCTCTGTTACTGTTGAACGGAGCGAGTATCGTGAGTGGTGATGGTAGTTTTGTCGCGCTTCAGGTAGGGCAGTGCGGTAAAATAGAACAGAAATACTCAGGCTCGTGTCAAAGTTCCCATTAGCCCGTTTCGTATGAAAGTAATGAAGTCACTGTTATGCTTGGCGCAGGTCTGTGAACTCCACTTCCTCGAGGCTGACTTCATCACAAAGCTGTCACATTTCGACACAGCATCGGGACGGACATTGACAGTCGACAGCGAGAGGGTGCGCCTAGTGTTAGATGCTATACCATCAGTGTTTCCGAACTGTCCGTCCTACCTGAGCACAAATCGCAATTTTCGAGAATCTCCTGTCTCGAAACGAGCTCCAATGGAAGACGAGGCCTTGAGCAAAGCGATTAAGGACTCTATATGCGCAAAAAAAAGCGAAGAGGAGAGAAATGCTGTGTCCTCTTTCGAACACTTAAGAGGCAAGCTTTCTGCTGTATGCAGTAATGATTTCTGGACCATCAAGGCCGATGATCGTTGTGTGATGTTTCTCCGCATCGAAGATAATCCTTCACCGCACGTGAGGTTTTCCGTCACTGTGCTTGCTGATCTCTCACTTGCAGTCTCAGCAGCTATGATAAAGCTGGTTTCATTACCTTGCGGAGGCGCAGTTCCAGACGCAGTGCGCGACATCCGGACGTGGTCCTCACTGCTCCAGCAGCTGGAAAACCACATGACTGAGACGCCTGAAGTTGCAAGTCTGTCGAAAACAGCGTCAGTGTTGCAGCATATCGGCTCCTTATTGAATGAACTGTTCCAAGACAGTGACACGACCGAAGAACACAGTGCTTTGTTTCGTTTGCTAAATGAGCAAATAGCTCTCGCACTCGCTGCCCCCATTCGTCGCTACAGTGCTGAAACATTAGTGTTTTCTAGCATCCTGCACTCCATATCTCCGCACGCCTATAACTTTGCCAGATCAGCGTCGATGTTGACTTTACCCCATCCTTCAACCCTGCGCCGCGTTTGTTCCAAGTATGGAGGCGATCCACTGAAAGAGCAAAACGAAGCGAACTTCCTCTCCTACATTCGAGAAAGAGTGAAGTGCATGCAGCCGCACGAAAAGATGGTGACGCTAATGGTTGATGAAATTCATATCAAGCCATACTTCAATTATAAAGGGGGCAGCATAGTTGGATCTGCAGCCAATTCTCAAGAGGCAGCCACAACCGCTCATGTTTTCATGCTTCAGTCGCTCTTGTCATCAAACAAAGATGTGCTTCACATTCTTCTTGTTGCTAAATGACCGCTGAAATTCTACATGAGTTCTGCAAGAAAGTAATTTTAGAAGTGGAATCTATGGGCCTCAGGGTCATTGCTGTAATTACCGACAACAATTCCCTCAACCGGAAAATGATGTTTTTCTCAGAGAAACAGGAAGTGAGCATTGTATATCCTCATCCAGCCGACAACAATCGGCCTCTGTTTTATGTCGTAGACCCTTTGCACATACTAAAATGCATCAGGAACAACTGGATGAATCAAAAAAACGAAGGAATATGCTTTTACTTTCCTGAAGTAAGCCTGTCAGGAATATTGCCCAACGGGCCACCCAGAATGAAAGCAGCATCATTTGAAGCCTTACGGCAGCTGTATGCACTGGAGCAGACATCGCTTCTCAAGCTTGGCTACAAGCTAAATTCCAAGACAATCAATCCAACACCTAAGGAGAGACAATGTAAAGTTGGTGTTAAATGTCATTAATCCGTTTATATCAAACGCACTTGAGACGCGTGGCAATGCCCTTGAAACCACATGTGCCAGTTCAACAGCTCTCTTCATAAACATCATATCGACGTGGTGGAAAATCGTCAACGTGAAGACCTCTTCGAAAGGTCGCCGACTGAACGACACCCTTCAAAATCCAGTGAATTCTACGGTGGATCAACAGCTGGTTTTCCTTAGTGGCATGGTAGACTGGCTGGATGCTTGGAGCAGCGTCAACATGAGCCATGCCTGCTTGACAAGGGAAACACATTCTGCGTTGAGACTCACTTGCTACTCCCTTGTTGAGCTGTCGCGGTACTGTTTAGATAAACTGAAGTTCAAGTATGTCTTGCTGGGAAAATTTCAAACTGACACTCTTGAAGATTGCTTCAGTCGCTACCGTCAGCTTGCTGGTGCACAATATCATGTTTCCGTGATGCAGCTTCTGGAGTCTGAAAAGAAAATTCCTCTGCAAAAGCTGCTGATGCTTCCGCAGCCAGACATCAGCAGCGAAAGTGACTCAGAAGTATCGCAACATAACTTCTCTGTTCACATCTCAATTGATGAAATTTCCAACCCAAAGCATGACATGGAGGTCGTTGCTTATATCGCTGGATATTGTGCTCATTCAGCTTTGAAGAAGCTGTCATGCGCATTTTGCAGCAGCGTGCTCATCCTGGAGAGCAGGAACATAGATGCGGAAGGTAACACAATGATTGACAACTTGTCAAGAGGAAGCTTAAAGTTTCCGCAGCCATGTACTGTGCACATGGTGCTGGTGACAACGCTTGTTGTCGAAAAGTTCACCAAGGGAGAAAATGCAAAGGCGTTCCTCGCGTCGAACAACCAACGTGGCATTGTAAGCTCCATTACCACATCACTGCTAGGAGATGTTGAGCTAAAGACTTGTGAAAATAGCCATACCTCTGAGACTATCGTGCGGCATGTAGTGCGTGTTGCAACAAATGTCGCTCTGAACAACTTTTGTAGACTTCGAAATGACACCATCCAAAGCACCGCACAAAAAAAGGCAGCTGAGAGAACAATCAAAACCTTGAACAAGAAATGAGGTAGGATGGTTTTAGCCTTTCATCCTAATAAAACCACTTCTACAAATGCATTTCTGACTATTACAGTTTGATCACTAAAGTGTAAAGGCAGGCGTAAACAAATGCAAACCGCGCAGGAACAAAAAAAGAACAAAGAAATCAAACACCGGCTTTCAATAAGTGCCCACAGCAGATATAACGAGAACGAGTGGCGACGACGGCCGGGGTGCAGGTGGGCAACTAGCGTGACGTCACGCTCTCCCTGGAGGGGCCTTGTCAATAGTCCAGGTGGTGTTGGTTTTTCTCGCCTCTGTGCTTGTAAACCTGCAGCGTCGGCGCTTCAATAAAAAGAAAGAAAAGAAAGTCGCCCTTTCGTTGTTGTTTTTTTCCCTCCGCACTGTCGCGCGTCTTTTGAGAAGCCCGATAATTATAGCATGAGAACAGAACGACGACAGAGACAAGAATGGCATGAGCGCTCTTTGTCGTCTACAAACTAGCACAAACTGCCACACTTTTGAGAAAAAAGGCGTCCGTTCGCTTTGTCGTATGCTTGCGTACTGCGCTGGCGGTCGCGACGGATTTCAGAACATGAGTTCGTAGTACTGAGGCGTTGTTAACATAACGTGGAACTAAATTAATGCTCATTATTCTGAAAAGTTCGGTATTCTGAAGTACGTAGTAGCGAAATATTTTTACATTGAAACTATTAGCAGTTGGCGAGGGATTTTTCAAAATTTTGTTAAATTGGTGTTCGTTCTACCGAGATTTCACTGCGTTTACAACACACTTAACAAGCATAACCACACATATATTGGTTCTTCGTGAACTAGAGCACTGACAACTGATGTTGTGCTAACTATGAGTACAATTAACAATAAAAATAAAGTCCAACAATGCTGAGCAAGTCGGTCATGCTGCATAAACATCATAGGATTGGACACCTGTTTTTAGATAACTAACTAAATTACATCAGTCATTGAGCAGCTGTTTCCTTTCTTTTGGAAAAGGGGGCATGTAGCCAGATTTGAACACCCAAGACCGCTCAGGCGGGATGAGTGGAGCCATGGACGGACTTGTCGACTCCTGGTATTGCAACTTAGCAGTAGTAAGCAAGTTACTGTGGACCAGTACACTCCTCCCTGAGACCGGGACTGATGAAACGTTTGTCAGACCACAGTCGACTCAACACTGTCATGGCTCTAGATCCTCTTCAACTTTGCCTTGCTCGATGTCTGCAGCACTGAGAACCTCTGTGCTGGCAAGAATGTGAATCTGTGAGTTCTGTTCCATTTGCGCAAGCTGCTCCACAGTAGCCTGCACAACCTGGATGTCCCCATGCTCGGTGTGGATAATCTGTGTAGAAGATTAGTAGCAAGTAATGCTGTGTGTGATGAAAGGGCAGCTTAAATGTTTCTGGCATCATATATCACAGCTAATTCAGAGGTTTCTTTGTTTGTGCTGTAATTTTTCAAATTATTATTGTTCAATTGAGGGGGAAAAAAAGCCAAATAGGCATGCAAGAGCAAATTCACAAGGTTTCCCATTTGCTAAGCCAGTTCATCATCATCAGCCTGACTCTATGCCCACTGCAGGGGAAAGGCCTCTGCCATGTTCCTATTAACCCGGCCCTGTGCTTTCTACTGCTATGTTATACCTGCAAACTTTTTAATCTTATCGGCCTGGTCACTGTCACCTAGTTATACTAGTTACTGTCACCAAACATGGGCCTCTGTAGACTTCTTTCACCCTTCTACTGATTCTTTTGTCAGATTGACAGACAAAATAGAGGCAAATAAGAGAAAAACTAAAAAATACTGGGTGGCAAGCTCAAGCACAGTTTTGACTTTGCAGTTGGGGCACAGTCAGCGTTCCTTCACAAGTTCGCTATCATGTAAGTTGTCAGGTAAAGCCTAATTTCCGAAAAATATTTTGAAGTACCTGGTTCATTTTTTTTTTTTTTCAGTTTAAACCAAGAATAGTGAACCCTATTTATGAAAAGCCTAATGAACTTTTGTGGAGCCTGTAAGAGCTTAAAAGCAATAGCTCTCTGCAAGTGAAGCAACTTAACTTACAAAAGTGCTTTGGTACATACTTGAGCTCTTCACAAAAGTTTTATTATGCATATTGGGAAAGCAATGGCAAGCTGGCAAGGTCCTTTAGCTTTTTTTGCTAGTTCAAGATGAAAATGATAGGCTTGTGCGAATACTGACTTTTAGGTTCGAAGCGAATAGTGGTTTTGGTCAAATAATTTTAAATCGAATTCAAAGAGCGTTCATATATATGTATCACATATTACAAGGAAAAATAGACATATTTTTCATGACCCAACTAACCTGCACAGTATTTTTTAAGAATTGAAACAAGGCCTGTGCCACTGTTATTCTTTTTGGTTCAAAGGAAGTGGAAACAACTTTGAATAGTAGGAGGATTTGACGATTCATAGAATGCAAGTGATAACCTGTAAAATATGTTATGTTTTGAAATTTGCTATACTTAGAGTATAAGCTGGTATAGAAAGCTTTGAAACTTTAATGAATCGATATGAGCATAACAAGTTCCTTTAACTTTGAAGTGGAGCTTAACGACAGTGTGGATTTCCCCTGAAAGACGTTTTCACAGTTTAGCACTTATTCACAGCAGTGAAACCACCTTTATAAAAAATTGCATGCAAACTAATAGTCGAACCTCGCTACAACAAAACTCACGAGGTGCGGAAAATATTTCGTTGAAGCGAGAATTTCGTTGTGAAATAAAAAAAAATATAGCTTATTTGAACTAACTAAACAAAGGAACGTTTGTTCTTAAAATGAAAAAAGTGTCCACTGCTTCCTATTCTTTCCCAGCAGCATCACGACGCAATTTACAGTCATGCATAGTGAGACCATGGTGAAAACCACTGGAATAACGCCTACAACCCCATTCGTAAACGTACCAAACAGTTGCATTCGCACGTAAACACCAGCAGCCGTCCGCCGTCAAAGTGTATCCGACAACGCCGAGATGGAGGCATAATATCGTGAAGCGGTGACTTTTCCTTTATTTCATGCCATTCTTATCATCCAAATCTCATGGCTGGCTGGCTTGGTTGATGATGCAAACGAACAGCCGCTCTGATTAGGTATTACATTGGCCAAGCGCGAATAAAATGATAAGCATTTGAATCGGAAAAGACATCGCTCCGCGGTTCCATGCAGCAGCTGCGTGAAGGAAACCATGAACTGAGCGACTGAGCTTCAGCTTCGGATCTCATTCAGCTTCTCATTCATCTCTTCAGCTTCGGAGTCTCTTTGCCATCGCTATCGAGCAATGACGGCGCCCATGCTTGAAGAACAGCGGCCGTTTCTGGTGGTGCCAATGCGTGTTTTAGACTTCGTGGGAGTATTTTCAGGTTCTCAAAATGCATCAAATTGTTAAAGAATGGGTTTCCTGTATAGCGATAAATATCTGAGCCTGGAATTGCATTGTGAAATTTCATTGAAGCGGGACGGCAGAAGAAAAAGTGTTCGTTGTGGTGACAATATTTATGCATTGACTCCTATGGACTGCTGACAAAGAACAGTGAATTTTTCGTTGTAGAGGAAATTTTGTTGAAGCCGCGTTCGTTGTAGCGGGGTTCGACTGTATAGGTACATTTCAATAGGTGCTTTCACAGCATAACACCTCTTTACTGAAGCAAAACCACCTTTGCAAAGATTACATGCGGACTAATATTTGTTTGAAATTTTAAACATTTTAAATTCGAATTGAAAATAATTCGAATACAGTAATATTCGTTTGAATATTAGAACTACTCGGATATTCACAAAAGCCTAGAAGATGAAATTGTTACAAAAAGCTGATGGAACTGCTTCCATGCAGCAAAGTAAAGGACAATCACAGCAATATTCAAAGCAGCCAGTTGAAATCTGCACTCCGTCCTGCACTACAAGGTGCTGTACTAGGCCCGTAGCCAGAAGAGGTGTTTTATCCGCCCTTTTGATTTTGAAGAAGGCATTTTTCACCAATAAAAAAAATTTTTTCTCAAAATGCCAAGGCCATCAGCAAGTGCCCCCCTCTCCTCTTGAAAAAAACTCCTGGCTACGGGCCTATGCTGTACTATAATGTTAGGTGCTCTACCCGGTGAATGAGAGTGGCACAGAATGCGAACCATCCTCACCTGTGGCTGTAAGCTGGCAATATCACGCAGAGCTTCTTCAGAAAGAAGTGATAGCTGCTCAGTAGGGTCTTCTGCACGCGAAGAATTTGAGACTGTGGAGGGATACACACCTCTGTAACAAAAAGCAAAGTGCAATTTAGCAGTAAAACAAAAACTCTGGTTCAAATCTTAATTATGAACGATAACAGTAAGCACTCTGACTACAGCAAATGAAGTTGAAAGAAAGGGCATCATGTAATAAATATTTCTGCTTCCTAACTAGCCTCATCAAAACCATGAAAGATAGATTACAATCAGGGGCATAGCCTCTTTTTCTATATATTCTGAGTCACATAGAGTAGGTAAAATTGAGCCGTGACATAATCACTTCCGAGTCACATAGAGTAGGTAAAATTGGGCCGTGACATATTCACTAGTGTTCGGAAAGTATGTTGTTTCAGTGTGGTATACGATGCACCCAGGTTTGTTCCGGTATTTCTTTTTTCTTTTTGTGTGTGTAAGGCATGCATATTTGTATTATGTCAAGTTTATTATGTGTTACTTGCTTTTTTGTTACTGTATCTCTTTTGTTAGTGCACATTTGATACATGACATGTTAGTATTGTTGCTTGTTGTATCTGCAAAAAAAATGAAAAAAATGTGCATCTGTGACAAACTACAGATACAGAGGCCTTTGTCAGGCATATGAAGCACCTTTTGCTTCTGTATCCTTTTTATTGCTTTCAAAGAAATAAAATTACTACTACTACTACTACTGCTACTACTAGAGAGAGAGGGTGGAGAGCTATTTTCTTGTAGCTGTTTTCTTTAGAAAAGCCACTCCCAAACAAATGAAAGGGCCATTGCTGATGACAGAGCACTGTTTATAGATGCCAAAGAATAGAGCAAGCCAGAAATGAGTTCAAGTTCTACAGGATACCATGAAATAGGAACCCAGACAGAGCTGCGCAAAAAACCTAGTTCAGCACACTATTTTACAGAACTGGTGCCTGCAGCCTATTTATTCTTTCTCCCTAATGCAAAGAGCAACAGATACGAATGTAGCATATGCATGCTTTCAATAAATATAAATCAAAGCCTGTCGTGGACCTCAGTATGTTTAATGGTGTAGAGTTACCAGTGGACACAATAGCACCTCGCACACCTAATCATATTTATGACCAATGTCTGAAGAAAAGAAATTACTTGTTTGCAAAACTGCGTACAGCAGTGCATGCCATCATCATTTTGACTATTTGTAAGAACAAAACAAATAAACAAAAAGCCAGTTAGGTAAATGAAGCATGCATAATTTTGGGAAAAACAAACAAACCATTCTGCCTTGGCCATTAATACCTATGTGGTTCAGTCAGGGTATAACAGCCCAAGAATTGTGCAAGAAATGACCGCAAAATATGCATGACTGAGCCCTTCTGAGGCATGGTGCCATCGAAATGAGTTAGTGTCATTTTTCAAAAATTTATAGGCACATACCTATCACGAAACGCCTTGACTGAAAGTGACATGCCCCGGCTTTTGCGCCTGAATGCTGTGCGGCATTTTGAGTCCATATTCTGCTTGATTCGATGCCAGTCAAGGTCATTGATTGCGAAGTGATGTACAAGATGACCTGCAAGGACCAGTAGACAATTATTTTCCTCTAAGTGCATTTATAGTACAATAAAAAGAAGGTTTTCACAGAAAAATGAGCCCAGACAGACTCTTGCCTGTTTGCACAGAGCTATTAAATACACAGCTATTAAAGAACATATTTCCCCTCTGAGTGACCTACAGGTGGTGAATGCCAAGAATGCATTGGAAAATCAATCGAAAATAAAACCTATACAAATAAACATCAAAATACTAAACATCATTGCCCCCTTCCTCTCTTTTCCTGACAGCTAATAAGAACCCTTATTAGAAATGTCAGTACTCTACACTAGAACTTTTTTGAATTATAGAGAAATGTTTGCCTAAAAGCCGATTCCAAGTTATCTATTTCAATATATGCAAAATGTTTAAATTAAACAACCACTGACCCCGCTGGAAACTTTTTTCATTAAAGAGGGAAAGCTAAATTTTACTGAGTGCAGGAAGCAGAATTTCAATTTAAGCCTTACCAAATTCTTTTTGACAAGAATTGTGGAAAATCTGTAACTTTTAATGTAAAATCGAAGTTTTGAACTTAATGCTTCAGTTTTCTCATAGCGTTTTTACTAGTTTGATCAGAAGTAGAATATTTTGTTCCAACAGTGTCAAACGTGTTTTTCATTGCTCAACTTGGAGCATGTTCATGCTTAGTGTTGTTTGCTTTGGAACAACTAACTTGGCAAAAGATTGCTCTCACTTGCTTTGATGCTAAGGTCATGTCTTTCTTTTCCCATCTTTTTTTCAGGGAGAAAAAAAAATTTTCCAAAGTTTGCAGAGTTAATTCTGGCATCTTTGATAACCCACTTTGAGTGATGAACAATTATATAAGTCATAATAGATTGTGTCAAAAATTTGATAGCAAGCTGGTGTGTAAACATGAAAATAGTGTTGCCACCCGTCTGTGTGTCTTTTTTTTTTCTTTTTTAACCTTTTCTGGCTTACGAACTGTCTTTCAATGGCAAGGGTGACATACCAAGACAAGCAAAATTATTTTTCTCTTCAGTGTCCTTTTAATACTTTTTCAGCATGGTCAAAAAACGCTGTCAATCAGTAGTCGAGGCTCCTGAGAACATGCGAGCCAAACATTATAGCATAAAACGCGACATAAAATTCACAACGAATAATCAAAACCAGCTACCAATAGATTCATCCCCTCTTCACAAATGATGCCATAAACCCAAATGACTGTGCCATCAAACCAAAGTCCACAGCCATTAGCTGATTTGAGCATCGTGAACTGAATAGTTACCGTGGCCATTGAAGGATCCCCATGCACGTGCTCCTGATCATACTGAAAGTAAGCAGCGCATTGAAAGAAAAATAGAAAAGAAAGTGCTCAAGGTCATGATGTGTGACGACTAACAGACATATCTTCTCGCCCCCTTGTCATTCCCCCTCCCTGCATAGTTTTCAGCATGCTCACTGGTACAAAAAGAGAAAGCTGCTTGAAATCTGTAATTCTGGTTTAAAAAAGGGGGGGGGGGGGGGACTGAGTTCATTACACAATTCCATTCATACTTCACGGATTCTAAATAATTTTTGCAGCAGTCAATGCACGAGGCAATCATCTCTCTTAATGGAGCCATTCAATTATTTCTCTAAAAGTGTTGCAGGGCCTGTTTAAAATTGTAGTCTTTATGGTATATCTACAATTCAACTTTATTATATGCACATTAAAATCTAAAAAAAAGTCTGCACGCACAGCAGACCTGCCTTTACAGCAATCATAAGGGTCAACAGCAGAGCCGTGGTGAGCAGTGGTACACTTATAATGTTTATTGCAGTACAAAATGACGAAGACTAAGGCGAAATAGAAGGCACACAGACGAGTGCTCAACCATGTTTATTACACTAAACGTGCTGCCTTACCACTGGCCCGACTTTTCATCCCATTGGTACCCTTCATTACATGGTGGTGCACTTCAATCTTTTTGTATGCGTGCGTGCGAGTATCAAGCAAATGCTTATATTTCTGTAGTCTCCTTGTAATAATATAATATAAAAATGCTATGAACTAATTTTCCCATAACTAAGTGCCAATGCTACATGAATAACAATATTTGGATTCCCTTTCCCACTAATATCAGCACAAAATCTCTATCATATTGTTGTCACTCTTTCTCGTATATCCCTACATGAACACAATTGTGGCTGCAAACAGGAAAATTCTGATGAAAAAGAAATTCACAATGTTTTCAGCATTACCATTGCAGAATCGGCCCCTGTAGCAATATATTGCTAAAAAAAACCAAGTACAACTAAAATTATTTATCAGTCCCATAAGAAGGTCCCTGTACCTACATACCGTATTTACTCACATAATTTGCGCACTTTTTTTCGAGATTTTGGGGCCCCGAGAAGGGGGTGCACAAATTACACAGGGATTTCACGAGCGTGTATACGAAATATTGTGTAACAATCCTAACACGCGCAGTATATTTTAAAAAAAGATGAATTGAACCATACTCATTATTTTAAAGGAATTAGCATGTACTTTAACAAGTTAGATCCAGTCAGGCGCGGTTTTGTGGGAGTCACTGATCGCAAATCCAATTGGGAATCATCGTCGCGGCTGCTGTCACCGCCCTCCCAAAGCGCATTCTCTTCGGCTCTATTGAGTGTGTTCGAATGCCCCACTTTCTTGAAGCTCTTCTAGACAACTTTGGGAGAAACTAGGTCCTACGACACGGCGTACCGGAAGACCTAAGCATCCGCACATAATTGAAAAGACCTTCTTCAATGGCAGAAAACTTGCATTACCAAGCGCGCACATCTGCTTTCTCGCGTACCGATCGACCCGATCGTCACACGTTGAAGTACTTCACCTTGAAGTGCTTGGTGGCGGTGCGATTCCCGGTTCCTTCGACATCGCAAGGTGACCGTAAGAACACATTGGCCGGATGGCAAAACCTAAACTTTCGAAATCGACCAAGCATGCGTTGCAGCACGAACGCAGAGACCAAGGGGAACAGTTCGCGCAACAGGCCTTCTTCCGCCTCTAATGCCAAAAGTTGTCCATGCCGTGACGCGAGCGTGCATTGTCGCGATGGTAGAGATAAGGAGAAACAAATGCTCAAGCGATTCCGGCGACCAGTTTGGGTATGATATTCTAGGTTCTAGGGACTTCTAGGTTCTAGGAAGAAGGGACTTACCACGCGCAGCCTATTTGACTGAGCTTGTCTGCCCGGCAAGGCGCGTGCCTGTCCAAAGCATCGGAAGGCCCAAAGCCACTTCCTGCGTGTGCCGACGAGCTGGCTCAGGCAGGTCGGGGAGCGCGAAATATGCAAGTGAATATTTATTTTGAGGAAAGCTGACAAAATATTAGGGGTGCGCAAATTATGCCGGTAAATATGGTACGAGCATTATAGACTAAGCTTTTATATCCACAGAATAAAGTTCCTATTCATTTCATTTTTATAGTGCCTGGTTCTGATTCCCTTCCTTTTTATAAAAGTAGCAGCCACTAGCCATATGCAGCACACAGAAGGCCCATAAATTTGATCGGGAGGCAACAAGATGGCCAGCACCTACATTTTATTGCAAAGATGCGAAGTGGGTCAAGCTGTTGTTTTCCATAGCGCCCAGTGCCAGAAATGTTTGAGCTGGCCTGAACCTCCCGATCAAAAAGAAAGTCAAGGAGTGTTAAGGCCATCTTTTCCGGGGTGGTGCACGTCCGGTTGAGGTTCTCCAAATCCCTGCACACAAGATATTTGCACTAGAAAGGGCTGCAACTTGAGCATGGTTAAGTGAGACCACATTGTGCAAACAGATATAATGAAAAAAGGAGCATACACTTTGTCTGCTCACATGGATGCCAGTAATGTGTAATTTTTTTAATGCTGCTGACATTACTATCTGAAGGCACCTTGTAATATAATATAGGCATAGTTCCTTGTGTATTTCCTATGGCAATACACTGGGCACCATGTTTAGCTTTAAACCCAATAAATCTAATTGGCAGAAGCCAGAGACAGGAACTTCAACAGAGGCATCCTTACTTCCTGTAAAACTGTCACTAGCCTTAACTAATGTCAGGGAGTTGAGGCTGCATCTGTAATTCTGCTTTAAAAAATGGGGGGGGGGGGGGGGGGGGGGGGGGACTGAGTTCATTACACAAATATAGACGATTTACAGTGCTACTATATAGCAAGGGCCGTACCCAGAAATTTGGGGGGGGGGGGGCATGTTTATGTGTAGAACGGTCAACCTTGGCAACTGGTGGTCGATGGGAAGGCATATAATTCATTTAGTATCCTCAAAAAAGTTACCACATGAAAAAAATTCGGGGGGTGTCAGAACCCCCTCACCTCTCCCTAGTTACGGCCCTGTAAATAGCACCGCCATTTTATAACACATGCCTGCGCAGACAATAAGTGCCTTCTAGCTTTCTTCCAGCAGCAGATTCTGCGCTGTACTTACGCAGGAAATAACCATGTTTGAAGGTAAATTATCAATAGGGGATGAGTTGTTTTTGACCAACAATGCAATCTGGTCGACCAAAAAAAAAGTGTTAACGAAATGATAGAGCTGGTGCTAAATTATGCTGATTGATTTATTGATATGTGGGGTTTAACGTCCTGTTCCTCCCATGTACATGCTTATGAAGTTTCACTCACATGCATATATGCATAAAAGAATGCTTGAAAAACACTGGGACAACTGAAGATACAAATACAGGAGCAACTAGGCAAAAGCAAGAAGCCCAACTCAATATATAATAAATGTAACTACCTAACATGATCGAAGCAATACAGAATAGTGTAACGTGAAATTACGAACACTTTGGTTCACCTGTGCTCTTACTAGATTTAAAGACTGATACTTAATACATAGAGCCTCTGGTTTTTTCCTAGTCTAATAACATATCTCAGACAGTTGACACGAAAAGAACAAGGAGCGCATTCTGTAGAAAAGCCTGCCATCTTTAGTTAGCTGGGGTATGCACCAGTTAAAACTATTGGGGCCTTTTAAGATGATAACACATTGACAAATGCAACCAACTTAAGCTCTTCCATTTTTTGGTAGAGCTGAAGTGCTAGCACATTGAGTTTCAGACAGGAAACAGAGTGAGAGTGCACTGCGACGAAGGTAGATATAAAGGTCAGTAGTTTATTCCTATGCCTTGCTTCTGCTTGTCTTTTACATCTGCACTCTTCTCATTCTTCTGTTTGTCTTTTACAACTGTGCTCTTCTCATCACAACCATGTGTTGGTCTCAAATGATATGGGGTTGGGTCACAATTTTAAAGCTTGAAGTGCTTACATTTAGTATATATTATGCCCGTTCTCACAGCTCAAACACTTCATTCCATGTGAAGCCAACACTGCCCAAGACCTAAAATTAAGGTGCCTCATTGCATGTGCCCCTGCTTAAGGTGGAGTCACTCTTTGAAAGGTCACCACCTCCAAAACCGGTTCTCGGGGAGCGCCGATGCCATTTTCTTGCTTTCCGCTCATGCAGACTCTCCAGCGAGACATGGAAAGCATCTTTCACCATGCTGTCTCAGTGCAGAATGCCTGGGTGCTGCGTTTAGTAATGCACTATAAAAGATAAAATGACTTGAAAATGTTTTCCTTTTCCAAAAAACCAAGAAGACTGCTCCTGTGATCTGAAAATAAAACGTGATAAGTGGCAGCCGTCGAACTATTCTTGTACGTGAAATGCGAGCAGGCGTGAGTTGGCAGCCGCACGAAATCCATTCATGAGCATACGCCAGCGCGTCCCCACCACTGTTTCCATGACGTAGACATATGATTTTTACGTGTTCAAATTGCAGGCATTGCCATGCATTTGAGAAACGTGCGGCTTTCTGATATTTAATCACTATAGGCGAATGTAGACTCTTGTAGCGGTGACCAACATTGAACTTCTGGTGCACTTACATCTCCCCTTACCCCTCCACTCCACTCCTTTTTTTTCTTTTTTTTTTGAATCGGGAAGTGCGAGTAGCCAATTGTGATCTTGAATTAAATTTCAATCGAATAGTGCCGTATAGTGGCCAACTATATCGAACCAAAATATTTTAATTGTGAAGAAAAAGATGTGCCTGCAGCAAGCAGCATCGCCAACGCCCGGCTCGCTCGGCTCGTGCTTCGGTTCATTGCTGTGCCGATCGCTGGACGGTTCTTCATGCTGTCTCGTCGCTGTCTTTAACAGCTAATAAACCTCTTCACATTTGGTGGAGGTGCTGGGTATCGATCCCAGAACATAGAAAGAAAGGACAAAGAAATGAAATCTGCTGATGACCTTAAACACATAACGCAGTGTGTGACTGCTACCATAAGACTAGAATAGTAAATATGGTTCACCTGGCAGCGCTCGACTTCCTTGGTCTCTTTGTTCCGTGTCTTTCCTAGCGCTGTGCACTCTTGCAAAGGAATACCAACTAGCCCTTACCCACAGTATACTTCTGTAATGCTGTGCCTGATTGCCATGAGTGCTATGGGCCCATAAATCTTATCTTCGAGCACCCGTTCACAGCAGCACTCCGATTGCCCGCTGGAACAATGGGAGTTTCTGAACTATTGCTGCAGTGTGGCCATGGCGAATGCACAGCGCGAGTCGAATTATTCAAAACTTCGACTACCAGCTATATGAAAATCGAATCAAATGATTCCACTAGGTATATTTCTATTAGAACTCACAACTAGAATATTTGCACACCCCTACTTAATATAATGAAATAAGGCACAGGCTTTGAAAATATGACCAGTCTTTCTCAACCACGAAGCTGGATTTGGAGCATATCACGCTTATTGCCACAAAGGCCTTCACTACCAGCATTTGCATGTGCATAGCAGTATGTGTGGAGGGTAAATGTGAAAGTGCAAAACAACATGTTGTGTGTTATGCTAACATTTCGCTGCATTGTTTCATATTAATGTCCTTTATACCTTTCCACGTGCACGAAAATTAATATGCCATTTAAGACACTTATTCTAGCTTATCATATCAGATTGTAATAGAAGCAGCCGATAACATCCGTGAAACGATCTAACAGATCGTGTGGGAGGAGCTTCGAAAGCTGTTGCCTTCGTCGCAGCTCCCAGTGGATTCGATTGCCGACATTGTCCATGAAGAAGTTTAGCAATTGCTTGGAGTTTCAGAAACACTGCAGCCTCATCCACAAGCGATGAGCTACGCTGCTGCAGTCCAACACTACGCTCCACCTCCATGTCCACGTTAAGCCGCGTCCCCGGCATCCACACCGTCACATTTTCATCACAAGACACCACCGCCACCACTAACAACATATCACCCACCAGCCTCCCGGTGCTATGCACCAAGGGAGACTGACATTTGGACGCCCCTGATAACCGCCCACTCTGCTACTACTGCAGAGAACCTGGCCACACATACCACCGCTGCCAGTACCGCCAAATGGGCCTAGGCAGCTTCGCCATCAACGCACCGCCCCCACAGCACGGCGAGCGACTGCGTGACATCACTGACTACCTTACCACCACAGAATGGGCACCTCGACGTTCATCCCGTTCACCATAACCTGGACCATACCCGTCCCCTCATCGACGAGAGCAGTACAGTAGCCCCAACAGGGGCCGTTCCACAAGTCCACATTTGGAAAACTAAACGCAGCAACCGATGGAGGTTCGGTTGCTGTACGACGAACTACAAAAGACCCTCCGCCGCCGCCAACGATGATGCAATGAAACATAAATACGCCGCAAGCTGGACAGAGCCCTAACGTCGAAACTTCTCGGCCAGAAGGAGACCTGACGACGTCGTGTGGAAGTAGCGGAGCAAACCAACATAGCCATGACATGACACTACAACCGAACCGCAACGCACGACAATGAACTAGCAATCTCGACGTAATATTCGACGGCCAAACGTTACCACTCTCATCGACACTGGAGCCGACTATTCCATCGTCAGTCGTCCTTATGCTGTGAAGTTGAATAACGTTAGGACCACTTGGGAAGGCCCCAAATAAGTACACCAGGAGGTCACCTAGTTAGACCGGTAGAAATCTGCACAGCCAGAATCACCATTAACCGCCAGATTTATTCGGCAAGGTTCATCGTAATGTCACCCTTGTGGATAGTGTTATTGACAAAGTCGATAACACTATCCACACAAAATGCACTGCCGCCGTCACAGCTCTTGCACTATACAGTTAAACCTGGATATAACGAAATTGATAAAATCCCAGAAAAGCTCGTTATAGAGAGGATTTTGTTACATGCAGGTTTGGCACAAAAATTTAGAAAATAAATGCACCAATAAAACAAAAGGGCGACTGAAGGCAGAGCTAACCCAAAACACTTATTTTACACTAAAAACTGTGTTATTATTAGGATAGTAATTATATGGACACTCTGAGCAGGTTTTTGCCGTCGCCGCCATGTTCTGTAACAAGTCCAAATTGATAACATGCCCCTGCGCTTCGTAACTTTCATGAGTGGGTAAAAGCGCGCGAGCGCTGCTGAAGTAGAGATCAAATGAGTCGGCCCATCTCTATCGCCTGGAAAGTGCTCAAGATAACATATCCCGGGTTTTAGAACTGCGGTCGAATGCTCAAACAGAAAGTAAACCACCCATTTTCAACGAGCATGAAACAATGCGAGGAGGGGGTAGGGGGATCGCTCGAATAGCAACAATGAGCTTGAATTTTAAGGGCGGTTGCGATTGCTGACGCGCTTGCTATCTCGGCGAGTCGCAGTGCGGTTTTAAC